TGTCTACAGAAGGCGGATATGGCCTCTGAGAATGATAGGATATTATCTGGGGTCTGACGCGGTGCCGGGTGTTCGGCGTGGTGTGCATTACACAAGAATTCCTTCGCGGCCTCTCTCTTGTGCCCAGGTGGGCTGTGTGCGAGGGTGCCCAGCGCCGCCAGTTGTCATGCTCACAACAGTGGCTTGAAGGTTAGAGAAGCAGCACCAAAATTTGTTACTGAATAGCGGAGTCACTCGCAGTACAAAGCCACCAAGAATTTATTGTGAATGTTTGAGGTGTGCCGGAGGAGCGGACTAAAGCCGGCGAAGCTTGTGGAGAAAGGAACTGTGAAGGTAAGGGAGCGCCATGATGTTGAGGGAGTCGGAGCATCAGGGAGTGCCCTCAGAACTCGCCGCAGGTTCAATTCCTCATGTGTCCCCCGCAGTTGGCTGTTTGGAATTGAACTTGATCGAATCGCAACTTCTGGGATGGCAGTCAATTGTGCCATAGCAGCTGGCGGCAGAAGAGACAGGTCAGTGCCAGTATCCTCGGGGGAGGTGTCTCTGAGTTGGTTTCACCAGTCCCTCGAATCTGCAAGGCGGCAATGCGTGTGTTGTGTGGTGTCCGGCAAGATTGGCCAGATTGGGCGCAAGAGGGGCCGAAAGCGGAAAGTCGCCCTGCAGCGGGTGGTCGTAAGCAAGAAGTCCAAGCTGCACAGGCTGAAGCAGGCGGTGGACGAAAGGGAGGCGGCCACTTTGTCTTGGTCTGGGCTGGCCGAGCTGGTGGGCATGCACCCTTTGAGTATCGTTTCACCGCGGTTGAGCATGAATAACCCATGAATGAGAAGCTGAGGCTCTTCGTTTCCGCCGGTTTGCGGGTGTGAACTTCCAGAACACCGGTGTTGTTGGGCAGGAGCGCAGAGCCTCGGGCGCGAATGCCTTGAGTGAGACGAGGGAGGAAGCTGCCAGCCGGGCGCAGGTACAGCTTCCCATCAAGTCTGCTTAGAACTAGGAGCTGCCCACGAAATTCTGTGTCTGCCCATCGTCCGATCTACTGCCGTTGCCAGTGAGCAAACGCTCCTTGATAGCATTTGCCTGAGGCAAGCCCCACACATAACACAGGACATGGAAAGCAATACTGACAAATGATATTGCTTGTCTCCAGTCCGTTCTTGCTCCCGTTCCTATTCACGAATGTGGTGTACTAGAAGCGCTGTGAATTCCTAAGCAGGAGAATGCACACATTGCCGAACACTGATTTCGGGGGCTTTCCCTGTTGGATGCACAGGGCCAGCGTTCGCCGTGAATGCCAGGGAAATCCAAAACCATAGATTCAATCCACACTCACAGTTTTTCGTCAAGGAAGTGCTTGAAACTCCAGACCTGTGCGAGGCCAGCAAAATAATCTCAGGTACTCGTGGAGTGGCAATGGACAGTGCTCTTGGTGTCCCACTGGATCTTTCCGAGCTCTTGGCAAAACAGAGTGCTCAGCAACACACATGGAGAAAAGATCGTGCCCACGTTTGAATGCATGGTAGACATCGAAAAGCTCTGTGCTGCTGCTGCTGCTGCTGCTGTGTGTGAAGTGTGTGTGATGGCGAGGGTGGATGGGGTGTGGTTGGGGCGAGTAGGGTGGGGGAAGTGCATACCTACGTTCACCATGGTTTGTTCCAAGTTTACCAAAAGAGGAAAGCACAGGTTGAGACAAGGAACAGTGCGACAGAGGAAGTGCGAGAACACTGCCAACAGCCAGCTTGACTTGCAGTTGAAAAATCTGCGGCACATATGTGGTGGCCATTTGATGGAGGAAAGGCAATTTCAGACTTTATCAGTCAGTCTCAAAGTGTGCAACCATTGTAAAGAATTCCTCAGGTGCCAGGAAGGTGCATTGGCACAACCCATTCGCTGGAATTGCAGGCCACAACACCTGAAGGCTGAATCCACTGCAAACATGGATGCTTCACATTGCTGTCATCAGTTTTCACAGCCTGGATTGTCTGATCATGTGATGAAGCCACTGACGGTCTGCCACCATATTTCTGGAAATGAAATACCCTGGTATCTACATTGCCGCTTCATCTGCCTGCAAGCCGCCAACTGTCAGGCAGTGGGTTCAGGTTGACCATGGACTGTGTGCCTGTGTGTGCATGTGTTTCCAGACTTGTATCCACAATATGCATCCACATTAGAAACTTCAATTCAGGGCACTGAATGTCAGAGGCTGGTTCTGGAGGAGTACTCTGGAATTCCGCGCAAGTCAAAAACACAAATCGGTGCACACAGAAGCCTCCAATTCGACGTCTTTGTAACAAGGAATAGAGTAAACATCTTTCCCCACCCACCCCCCAAAACTTGAGATCTGCAGCTGCAGCCCACAGCTGCGTGCAAGGCACTAATGCAATTAATTGAAATAAATAACCTTGAGCACTGCCACTAAGAGCTGCTGCAGGACGGTTTTTGGGAGTCCCAAAAGGACAATGGTCTGTGCAGTGCCAAATTTTGAGAAATTCGTAATTGTCACAGTCTCCAAGCAAACCGCTTTGGCCAAGCTCGGGCAGCAGTGGAGAATAGTGAGAACAGCAGAGCGTCCCCTCTTTTGCAGGAGCTGCCACTTCCGAAGCAGCTTGGCTCCTCCAAAGGACCTGAACGGATCCAAGTCTTTGAGTACCAGCGCAGCTCTGGCTGGACGAATCCTCCACCACAGCCCAGCCAGCACAGCCACCGACGCAGGAGCCCCCAGTCCCCAGCAAACCTTTCAAAACCTCGCCCCTCACTGGTCCTGAAACGCGGGCGCGCCGGCAGCCGCCTCGTCCAGGATGCCCATCAACGACCCATCCTTCCCAACCGGGTTCTCCGCGCTGAGCCTCGCCAAGTCCGCAGGCGTCTTCCCATTCCCATTCTTCACCGCGCCGCTGGCCCCCGCGTCCAGCAGCCGCCGCACGGCGACCTTTCTCCCATAACCGGCCGCGTAGTGCAGCGGCGTGTTCTTCATTGAGTCCACCACCTCCAGCTTCGCCCCCGCGCCCATCAGCGCGTCCATGACGTCCATGTTCTCGGTGGCCACCGCAAAGTGCAGTGGGGTGCGCTCCTGCTCGTCCGTCATGTTGGGGTCCTTCCCGATCGCCAGGAAGTCCTCAACCGCCTCCAGGTCCGCCGCCTTGGCGGCATCCACCAGATTGTTGATCTCCACCTCAGGCGCCACAGGGGGGGCTGCCGCTGCCGCCGCCGCCGGTGCCGCCGCAGGCGCCGGCGCCCCATCCTGAGGTGCTCTCGCCCCGGCCAGGAACTCCGGCGGCGGGCCCATCTTCTGCGCCAGCTTGCGCATCATCCCCTCGTCGCGCATGTATTTCATCATGGCGCCCATCCCCCCCGTCTTCAGCTCCTCGAACATCGGCTTCAGCTCCTCGTCCTCCTGGATCGCCGCCATCTTCTTCTTCATCTCGTCGCTCTGCATGTACTCCACCGTCTGCTGCATCTGCTTCTGCACGGACGGGTTCTTCATGGCATCCTGCATCGCCTTCATCTGGCCCGCCATGCGGGGGTCCTTCTGCATCTCCTCTATCTGTTTCTGCATATCGGCCATTCGCGGATCAACCCCACCGGCGCCGTCTCCCTCCGCACGAACGATGGGCCTGCTGCGGCCGCCCGAATGGGTTGGCCTCGAGGCGTCCGCCTGGAGCACTGATCGAATGGCCCTCGGCTGCGCATCAAAGACGCGAGGCAAGGGGATCGGGCGACCGCATGAGGCGGTGCGGGCGATCGGACGGCGCCCTAGGGGGAAAGGCGCCGCGTTCATGGCCGTGCGGGCGGGCGAGAGACGCGGCAGAGGCGGAAAACAAGGGTGTGGGTCAGGCGCAGGTGACCTGGGTGTCCAAATCCGAGCCTGCCCAGACGAGCGCGGGTTCGATGGTGTTTTCGTGATTGTCCGCCTTTTGAATGCTTACGTGGCAGATGACGACCCCTCGCTCCACACAACACCTGCAATAGCCCGCGCAGGGCACTGGCTGGGCGCAGTTCTCCCCGCTGTGCGCACCCCCCCCCGCCCCACAGCCTCCAGGACGCCTGTTCCCGCCTGCTCACCGCGAGGCAGCCGCCCGCCATGCACCGCGCAGCCGCGCAGCGCTCGCCGTCGCTGCGCTTCGATGCCGCGAGGGGCTGGCGGGGCCAGTCGCCATCTGCGCTCATCCCCCGCCAGCCAAGCCAGTGGCGTCGCGGGCGCGGCGCGTTCTCCGTGCGGGCGGAGGCCAAGGCCAAGGGCAGCCTGGGCGCCTACCTGTCCGAGTCCTTCATGCGCATCTTCAGCGTGCCGGAGGACGAGAGCGTGTCTTGGGACAAGACGTACTTGCCGTATGAGGGCAAGCTAGACATCCACGACCAGCGGCGCCTGCGGCGGTTGTACGAAGTTGTTCAGGTCCGGGCGGATGCCGGTTTTGGATGGGTACCGGCCCGCTTTCCCTGCGGGTATTTGTGGGTAATGAGGTCGTTGGGGTGCGCGAGGATGAAGTCGATTCGGATAATAGGCTGGGGATTGCATACATGCCTGGTTCGCGTGTGGACTCGCGTTGCACCCTCACGATTTTTTTCTTTTTCCCTTCTCGTTTCACTCGGAGATCTGCGCATCGCCCGTTCGGGGGATGGAAAAGCGTGCCGATGCCGACTCCTCGGGGATCGGCCGTTTGTCCATGCTCTTGAGGAGCTGGCCACTGTGTTGCCTTCCCGCTGTTGAGATTGTTGTGCGAGCCCAATCCAGGCACAGACTGCTGCTTACTTCGATCATGGCAGGGATTTTCCGCTGCAGACTGTTCATGTCGAGGCCAGGAGTAACGTCAGGCAGGGATGGGCTAACTGTCCCACGCCCCTGTCTGTGACCACCAGTCACTTGATATATAGTCAACATGGGGCTTTATGGACCCCAGGGCTCCAATCCGCTTGCAAGATCACCTCAGCCTTGGGGGCGTTTCTATTTTTGCTTGGTGTTTGCCTTTGGTTTATTGGATTTCAAAGGAATTGAAAGCCATTGGCCTGAAACGCAGGCGGTGCGGGGTTGCATGGATCCCAATGCTGACAACTACTCTCCAGGAGCAACGGTCGATGATGGTTCCTGTGTATACCCCGATGGCACACAGGCCCCAGAGGGGCTGAAAGATTACATGCAGGGGGCGATTGAGCGTGTGGTTGGACATCAGTTCACTGGCGAGGATACAGAGCCTGAGTATGGCATCACGCCCTTCTCAGGGCAGATCCTGTCACAGCGAGAGATCGACAGGCTGGTAAGATGTTTGTCGAACGATTTGTTGCAGTACAATGCATGAACATATCCTCCCTGAGCAGATAGAGCCATCCTGGTGTGAGGTTTGCAATCCCCATTCACAATGTAATTGCTGGGCAAAGTAACATGTCGTGCAAAGGTCGAAACAGCATGCATTAAGCAGGTACCACAGCACTTGTAGTTGCCATTACTGACAAAGTGCTGCGCTTGCACACAACTGCCTAAACATTGCTCTGGATTGCTTGTTCCTTTCACCTGTCAAGGTTGTGGGTTGTTTATAGATTACACTTGTGGAAGGATCGATGTGTTCAGCAAGCATGTTGGACTTGTTGTTTCCACTGGTCAATTGTGAAGAGAGATTGCCCTTGTGCCTTGGGCAGTCAGGCCGATGTCCTATCCGCAAACTGCTTGTGCATAATCAGATGGAACGCAGGCAGCATAGGGAGGGTGACATGCAAACCATCCTTCGAATACCGTGGCACTGGTGCCACATCTGTTGTTGTAACTGCTGAGCAGGTTTGAGGAAGTTTAACTCTGAACAGCATCTCCAAACAAATACGTCCAAAACCTTGAACCTCACTCCTGGGTGGGGCTAATATTGTCCACAATCAAAATGAAAGATCTGTTCTAGGAGAAAGCAGGGAAAGAAAAGGGAGCCATGTTCTTGGCTTGGGAGCTGTTTATTGTGGAATGTTCATACTCGAGTTTCTTTTGGCCATTTTTTGGCGTTTGTGTGTTTATTCCTTGAGCAATGCCCAGGTGTTCGATTGAGCTGGCCTCCTGTCATTGGTGATAATGGAGGGCTGACACTGTCCTACTTGTGCCATTTTGGTGTGGTGTCCGAAATTCGCTTTGGTCTTGTTAAGCGAAGCATGAGAAAGCACTAATGTTGCACCTACTGGGGCGATGTTGGGTGCTATTCATGTCTGTACACATTTGTTGCTCCTGGAGTACTTCATTGTTTGAGACTTTCCACAGAGCTCTATTGGTTTGCCATGGGAGGAAGGAAAAGAATCTCATACATCCTGAGATGGACATAAGCATAAAGTTTTGGCTGTACACTTGCACACGGGTTTGAATCCACGTCTGCACATCTGCGATCATACAAAACATCCAGAATACGTTCATCAAGCCATCGTTGACACCATTTGCAGACTACCGAAATCAAGCTCCCTACTTTGCTTGTAGTACCATTTTATGCTTTCCAAGTGTGGCACACTGTGTTGTGTCAGTGTTGATGTTGGGTTGCCTGTGCATGGAGTGTTGCTCAGCACTGGCCGTGCCATTGATCTAGCTTCGTCATATGGGGAATTCAAGTGCGGATGGACTCTTATGAGTCACATCCATGCATTGCTGATTGACCTTGAATGAATTGATATTGCTAGTATGTTTGATAGCCAGCCGCAGTTGCAATACTGCCACAACTATATTGAGGTTTTCCATGGGTGTTAGGGAAGTGGAAACGCTGATAAGTGCAGGACAGGGCCACATGCACGTACCTGAAGTTTGGTGTCCGTGGAACAAGTTGTCCACGTTGTGAGACTGTGAGAAATATGCAGTGTTTTTGATCATTTCAGCTGCGCTGCTGCTTACTATTGTCCTCCTTCGCCTCCACAGATTTCATTCCAGAAGGTCGTAGAGAAGACGATTGATGAAGGCGACGAGAATTGAAAGCATGCACTATCAACGAGATGATCAAAATGGGGCAAAATTTGTGTTTTGGGATTGATTCTCCAGCCTGCAGGCGAGGGAAGGTGTCTACGTTGAATCGCATCGAGACATAAACAGCAGATCAGATGATTGAATTGGGCTGCACAGGGACGCTGCTGTGTCGAGGGCTCACTGTAACAGAAGGATAAAGCATGCTGTATGGTGGACACTCTCCTCTCAAGCAAGAGCGCTTGTGAGACTCATCGCCTTGCCGTGAAGTATGAACTGCAGATCTCTGTGTCCAGGAGGAAAGCGCACAGCAGAGAACAGCACGTGCAGCCAATGTGAAAAGAAGCCGGTTTGTTGGCGTACATGCAAGGGCACCATGGGGTATGTAGACGACTGGCAGGGTTCCTTCGCCGTGGCTTTGTGTGGGGGTCACGAGAATCGCGTTGCAACAATTCTCCCTTTTGCTGAAGCGGGTTTTCTGCTTTGCAACGCAACCGCACCTTCGATACTGCCGCTGGCAGAGTGAGGCGCCAGCGCATGACCGGCTGGCCAGCCTTGGCGAGTAGTGACGCTTCCACAGGGACCAGTGCACTGGCGTTTCACGAACGTATGTCCAGGAGAGCAATGCTTCGAAATCGGTTGATATCTGGCCTCTGCACAAATTTTCTCTTCTGTGTGAGCAATTTTGGGCAATGAATTTGGCAATCCTAGTGATGATAACAACAGAGTAGCCACAAGAACAACAACTGTGCAAGAGTGAGATATAGCTGTAACAACAGCACCAACAGTTATGTCGAGAGTAGTACTGATAGCAACAAATCTGCTTTCAAGCAACAAGAAATCAAAACTGAATACCTAAGACGAAGTACTGGGCAAATACATTGGGCATGAATACTCACCCACACCTTGTTCACCCGATTGGGTGCTGGACATGACCATTGCGCGTTCAAGGGGCACTGGGTGATCCGAGCATGTTTAGCTGCGAATCGGCTCTGGGCCTACATTCCGTCTACAAAAGTGTACACATGTGTCGATGTTTGTAGTAGTTGTGAGTAGTAATTGAGAGTATGGATTAAAAATCAGTCTGCTCTACGTACCTGTTTATTGACAATGCAGCATATGCAACATGTATCGGATTGAGCGGGGTTGAGTCGCACATGTATGTCCGTAGAGTGAAGCAGCGTGGAGAGACAGAAAAAAGTGGGTGAAGGGAATTGGAATCTCCAACCATCTCGAGCGAGCCTGTTTGCTTGCCGCAAAAACACTACCATTGCCAACTCTGACAAACGCAACATCAGAGGGATCATAACTGCTTGAGAGCTTTGGGTTGCCAATGTGATTCTGCTCAGCACGGGGTACCGCGCCAGGTCATAGACTGCGCCATCTCTTGATCGCATAGAGGTAATGCGAAAACTTAACGTGCACTGCAGGCGCGAATATCTCAATCACGAAACTTCTCCACGGATTTGGGATGTGGCCAGTTGCTGAACATCGAGCTCAGTATTGACAGCATTGATGCCCTGTTAAAGGGAACGCACCATCATGCATAGCATTGTTACGGCTAGAACTGATTGAGTGTTATAAATAACTGAATGTATGAAAAGATGACGAAGCACTAGGAATTACATTAAGGATGTTGATGAACGGACTGGGTATAAAGGACAGAGCGTCTGTTGTCCTTTTGCCTCGGCTGTAAATCGTTGCCGTGGACTTGAGCGTACGATTCCCGTTCAGGGATCGCCACCCCTCGACCCTGCCTGCCTTCGTCATTTGGCACCCGAGGCAGGGGGTGTGCAAGTCGAGACACGGACCAGGTTAGCCTGTTGCAACCTGGGGCGGACTGAGTGCCAAGAGCACTAGAGTTCTACGTTGCCCAGGCGACGTTTCCGAGAAACTTTTTGGGATCGAAGATTCAAGACATCCATCGAACGGTTGGTTACGACGGGACTCTAACGACCCAGAGTCCATTTCGTGTGGCCCTTCTGGAGTGTTTTGGCAAGAGCGCCAGCGGTGATCAGCTGTCGCTAGGCGTGGGGGTCAGTTTTGGGTCAAGGCTTCCACCGTTGACTTGAATACGGAGAGAATTGTACGTTGCGAGTGAGTCCAACGGGCAGTGCGACAACGTGTCACTGGTGCGCCGTAGCAGAGTGGCTCAACCGCCGCCAAAGGGATCAATTCGCTGACTGATTGAGCCTCCTCCCAAGGGACGACGCGCAGTGCAGCACCACTCTCGTAGTGCTGTGCTACGGCTTGGAACAGTACGACGTGTTGTGCTGCGACGGTGTCGGCGATTCATTGTGGTTGCTGATGTGTCCAAGGGATCACGTGTTTGCCACACAGCACACACGTCCCCACAGTGAGGATTGCGTGACAAGGAGTCAGCAGGACAGCAGCTTGTGTCAGCTTGTGTCAGCCAACGGTGTAATCCTACAAGGTGGCACATCGTGCTGATACAGTGAAGCGTCACTGCTGGTGTCGAGCGAGCAACGTGGCAGGGCGCGAGCGGCCCATGTGGCAGTGCTAGTACATTGAAGCAACATGGTGCACGGTGTCAAACCAAAGGCACGTCCCTTCACAGGAAGGGGAGAAGACCCAGGGGTATGGGTCAAGCATTTCCTACGGGTAGCAAGGAGTAATGGTTGGGACACATCAGCAGCAAGGATTGCTAATGCTGCTGTAGTTTTTGAACAAGAGGCAGAGACATGGTACAATAGTAGAGCAGCACATTGGGAAGGTGATGAACGTACATGGGATGAGTTTGAAGCTGCATTTGTCACAAGATTCAGAGCACCTGGGTATTTGGAACAGATCGAGTGTGCTTTGCATGACCCAAAACAAGTTGAAGATGAATCAGTGGCCTCTTATGCTGAGAGGTACAGATGTTTGCATGCTGAGCGGGAAGCACTTGATGGGGATGCACTTCCCATCAGTGCACTTCGACGTTATTGGGTCATGGGCTTGAAGAAGGAATTCCGCTTGGATGTTTTGAAAGCGGATATTCCTGATTTTGACCATGTAGTGGCAGAAGCCAAGCGAGTAGAGAAAGCAACGCTTCTCATGGAAGGGAAGTTGCCAGCAGCTGGCGAGCTTATGAGAAGTCGAGCCATGACGTCAGACAAAACCGACATTGATGGGCTGCAGCGAAACGTGGAGAAGTTGGCACAATCAATGAGTGAGCTCACTGCCATGATGGTCACATCGATGGGCTCGAAAGACCGTGCAGAATCGAGTCCTTTTCCTGGAAATTTTGGGCCAGCCAATCGTGGCAGAGGTCGTGGAAGAGGTGGAGGACGCATGACTTGGAGAGAGAATCAAATTGGTGGCAGAGCTGACTACAACAACAATTGGCATCAAGACAGTGACCAAAACAATGTTGGTAGAGGTCAGCCACTGACGGGAGCGAATGCAACACCTCTTGGAACGGCTGCAAATGTCCGAGCTGAGGACATTCGGGGTCCTGATGATCCATCTCAGAGCCATCAACGACAATCATCAGGTCGTTGCGTAAATGGCAAAGGAAGCCATGATGCTATGACAATGGAACTGGAAGCATTTGTTGGTGAAGAAGCGATTGAAGAGGACAAAGAAGAACCAAGCAAGAAAAGAGTCCGTGTCAGGCGTGTGGGAGAACGGAAGAAGCGTACTCCATTGACAGAAATTGTGTGTGGCCGGGGGAAACCCAAGTTCCAAGTATCTGAAGCTTTGTTCAATCTACCAGTTTCAATTTCGCTGGGACAGCTGCTCCAAGTATCCCCAACAGTGCGACGTGAATTGCGCACTGGGATTGCCTTGGATAGGCCGAAGAAAGCAAAGCCAAAAGGAGAAGCTATGGATGTGGAAGGCAGCTCACAACCTCAAGGTATGAGCAGTGCACAACCAGGCGCAAATACACAACCAGTCACAAGAGCACCAGAAGTGATGGCAGCTGAGGCTAACAAGTTGACAACCGAAAAGGCAATCAGAATTGACTGCCACATTGCTGATCGAGCCTGCCAAGGGGTTATAATTGACCCTGGAGCAATGTTGAACTTGATGGAACCAGATGCAGCAAAAACGTGTGGATTGCGTGTTTTGGGTCCCAGTGGTGCTGTGGTGCGTATGGCAGATGGTGGGCGGCGACCTTTGCTTGGCTACGTCAAAACCCATGTTGATGTGGCTGGTGTCTCCACAGATGTTTTGTTCCATCTGATGCACACCAACGCAGGATACCCAGCACTTCTTGGTAAACCATGGTTGAGGCTTAATCAAGTGGTGTCATTCTGGGGCACAGATTCGCATTTTATTCAGAATGCCGAGGGCGGCTTCTTGCCATTGGTGGGGGTACCGACACAGCTCACTGACTCTGAGCGTGTTTGTGAGTTGCTTGATTGCATTACTCATGAGACGGGAGCAATCGCTGGCGATACTTCAGTGGCGACTAGTGAGTCTGATGACTCCGATGATTATGAATCAGACAGCGAAGTGACCGAAGAAGAAACAGAATCAGAAGAACTGGAAGAAGAAGCAACGGAAGGATATCTGGTGCTGGTGGGTCGTGAAATCGATTCTGATGAACGACATGGGCTGACCGAAATGCTGCCGGTACAAGATGAGCCCAAAGGAAAGAAGACGTTTTCTGAGTCAAGTGGCAACTCTGGGCTGGTTTATGATGGTTTCCCGCCAGAAGTGGAAGCAGATGCAAAAGACGTCAGCCAGAACACCAAGTGGATAAACAATCAAGAGGCAAGTGCCATCCACAGGGCTGTGTTGGCTACTGAGTTCGAAGAGACTACATTGAGCATCGCCTTGGATGATGTTTATGGAGGAGGAATTGAGAGCAATGCTCCAGCTGATGACTCCAAAAGAACCGGTGGGATGAATTCTGAGAGTATGGGGCTCCTGTGGGATGTTCGCAAGGCAGGTCGTGTGCAACCAGTGGCGGCTGATGCAATTTATTGCAGGTCACCGGTTGTTGATTGTTTCCACATCACAGTGGATAATGTCGACACTTTGAATATTGGTGACGCAGCAAC